TTGTTTTGTATATATATATATATAAAATATATATATATTATACATGATAATATATATATATATATATATGTATATATATAATATATATATATATATATATATATATATTTCAATATAAATCTATTGTATATATGGGAACATATATATATATATATATATATATAATATATATTTATATTATTAAAAGATATAAAAGAAATTTCTCTTGGTTTTACAGGAAATATGTTGATATTTGGTTTTTTGAATACAAAGATGTCTTGGCAAATAAAAATTTCCAACTTTTTTAATTGGAAAAAATATTTTCTAGTCCCTTATTTTTTTATTCAAAGATTGTTTTTCATTTTTCAAACCATTCCCATCTATATTCCATTTTTAAAAGGAAGAAGAAAATTAAAATAATTCTGTTTGAAATCAGAGGTGGCAATTTAGAGACATTAATGAAAATCAAGAGATTTTGGCTTTTTTTCTTCATCTTATTCTTGGTTTTTTATTTAAATAAAATCAATAAGTTTAAATAAATAGATTTTGGACAGAATCACACCACTGAACATATTTGATTTTGTTTTTTTTTTCATTAATTTTGGCTATGAACTTTTCTTATTCTTGCTTTTTATCACAACATGGTTGAATCCTTTCCAACCATTAAAATAAGTCATGTGAAATCAGAGAGGTGGCAATATGGCTGTAGATTTGGACAGAATCACACCACTGAAGTTATTTGTATTCAAAGATGAAGTCTTTTCATTATTCATTTTTGGCTAGTCTTTTCTTCATCTTATTCTTGCTTTTTTTTTGATCCCAACTTTCTCGGTTGAATCCTTTCCAACCATTAAAATAAGTCATGTGATATCAGAAAGGTGGCAGAATCACACCACTGAAGTTATTTGAATTCAAAGATGAAGCTTTTCATTATTCATTTTGGCTAGTCTTTTTCTTCATCTTATTCTTGCTTTTTATCCCAATTTCTTGTCGTGAATTTTTAAAATAAGACAGAGTCAAGTATGGCTGTACAGAATCTGAAGTTATTTGAATTCAAAGATGAAGTTTTCATTATTCATTTTTGCTAATCTTTTCTTCATCTTATTCTTGCTTTTTATCCCAACTTTCTCAAAAATCCTTTTCCAACCATTAAAATAAGTCATGTGAAATCAGAGAGGTGGCAATATGGCTGTAGATTTGGAAAGTCACACCACTGAAGTTATTTGAATTCAACGATAGAATCATTTCCATTAATAATTTTTGGTTAGTCGTTTCTTCATCATATTCATGATTTTTTTATTGAGTTTCTTTGAATTCCTAAATGGAGCATAAATACCAAGTTTATTTCCTGTATGCTGACGTATTATTATCAGATTTATAGAGAATCTTAGATGCTAATCATCTCAAGAATATATCGTTCTTTGCCAGAGAAAGGTGAAAACTTGGCGCTGATTCAAGCACTTGACTAACATGGAAGTCAAGGAACCTTTACAAGAAATGCTGGGTGACCTGTAATTGTGCCAAACATTTTCGCAGGATAATAAATGTCTCTAACAGGGAAAGAGAAACAGCATCCTCATCATTGCCAACCGTAACATCCTGCTTTTTGAAATTTGTATTTTCTCTTCTTTTTGTCGTCTTACACACGTTGCTATTATTTAATAACTGCTCCCCTTCTTATTTTTCTATGTGCCATATCCCTTCTGAGTGTACGCGATCAAGGCTCTCCACATTTTCCTGTCGTTTGTAGCTCTTAGTAAATTTTGTCTTTATGTTATTTCTTCTAAACCTTATGCCACCATCCATTTACACAATCTCGCCATTCTTCAATGCATCATGTCCCTTCTGAATGTACGTAATCATGGCTCTCCACATTTTCCTGTCGTTTGTAGCTCTTAGTAAATTTTGTCTTTTTGCTATTTCTTCTAAACTTTATTCCACCATTCATTTACTCAAGTTTGCTACGAAGGTTATGCATTGTTTTCCTCTGTCCCTCTAGACTTCAATCTGCCATGTGAGTATCAAATTTTCCAAGCCCTCATTCCTCATTATGTGCCTATGAAATTTCAACTGTTTCATCCTGATGTTACGTATAAGTGTCGTTTTTATTAACACTGTCTGCTGAATTACAGTGTAACCCGGATATAAGAGAGTTGTCAGGACCGGAGAAGAAGTCTCTTATATCCGGGTTTCTCTTATATCCGGGTTTGGTCTATTTTTCATATACATTAACACAGGCTCTAATTTGGGACCAGAAAAAAAATCTCTTTATATCCGGGTTTCTCTTATATCCAGGTCTCTTTATATCCAAAAAAAACTGTATTTAAAATTCTTATTAAGAGAAATCTTTTACAAAATGGGGATTTCTCTAGAAAGAAAAAAAGAAAGAATGGTGAGAAGAGAGAAGAATTTAATGTCTCCTCTATCATTTTTTAATTTATGGACTATCCCGTTTAACTGCGTAGAAAAACAAAAGTCATAAGAAAGAAAAAATAAAGAAAAACAAAAGAAAGAAAGAAAGAAAGAAGTGTTTAATGGCAGTTTTAAAAGAAATGAAATTTCTTTTCTGTCAATTTCAGGTGTTTTATTTGTATTTAAATTAATTTAAAAATAATGACCAGCATAATGTGAGAAAGAAAGAAAAAAAGAAAGAAATATGAAGAAGAAAGAAAAAAGAAAGAAAGAAAGAGAAAGAAAGAAAAAAAAAAATTTAGAAAGAAATAAAGAAAATTAAAAGAAAGAAAGAAAAATTTAATGAAAAGAAAAAAGAAAAAAGAAAGAAAAAAAGTTTAAGAAAGAAAAAAAAAGAAAGAAAGAAAGAATTTAAAAAAAAAGAAAGAAAGAATGAAGAAAGAAAAGAAAAAAAAACAAAGAAAGAAAAAGAATTAAAAAAAAAAAGAAAAGAAAGAAAAGAAAAGAAATAAAGAAAGAAAGAAAGAAAGAAATTTTTAAAGAAAGTAAAAGAAAGAAAAAGAATAAAAAAAGAAAAGAAAAAAAGAAAGAAAAAAAAAAAGAAAAAAAAAAATAAATAAATTTAAAAAAAAAAAAAAGAAAGTGAAAAAGAAAGAAAAAAAGCAATAAAGAAACTAAAAGAAAAAACGAAAAAAAATCAGAAAGAAAGAAAGAAAATGAAAGAAAGAAAGAAAAAAGAAAAAAGAAAGAAAAGAAAAAAATCAATCTCAAGAAAAAAAAAGAAAATAAAAAAAAAAAAATGTCAATTCCAAAGAACCATTTGGTAATTTTCTCCTGCCAAGAAAGAAAGATTCATATTTATAAAAAAAAGAAAAAAGAAAAAAAAGAAAAAATAGTTGTTTAAGAAAGAAATATTTAATGACAAATGAGGAAATAAAAAAGAAAATTAAAAACATTTCATTTGAAACAAAAGAAAAAAATTTCTGAAAAAAAAAATTTAACAAAATTCTTATTGCCAAAATTTAAAATTTAATACAGAAATAAAAAAAAAAAATAAAAGGAAATTTCTACAATAAAAAGTGTCAAAAAAGTTAACATTAAGAAAAAAATCAAAAACTTTAATTAGAAAATCAGAAATTTCAAATAAGAAAAAAAAAATGAAATTTTAAAAAAAAAATCTAGAAAAATTAAGAAAAAAGAAAAAAAAAAAAAAAAAAAAAAAAAAAATTTAAACCTTCAAAAAAAGAAAAAAAAAGAATTGGAAAGAAAATTCTTTGATGGTGAAAGATCAGAAGAAGAAAAAGAAAGAAAAAAAGAAAAACAAAAAAAAAAGAAAAATCCCTTAAAGAAAATGAAAAAAAAAAAAAAGAAAAAATAAAGAAAGAAAGAAAAAGAAAGGAAAAAAAAGAAAAAGAAAAAAAAAAAGAAAAAAAAAAGAAAGAAATGAAGAAAGAAAAGAAAAAAAAAAAAAACAAAAATGAAAAAAAAAAATTTAAAAGAATGAAAAAAAAATCAAAAGAAAAGAAAAAAATTTTATTCAAAAAAAAAATCTAAAAGTTTTTCAAATGGAAAAAAGAAAGAAAAAAAAAAAAAGGAAAAAAATGAATTTTGAAAAGAAAAATGAAAAAAAAAGAAAAAAAAAAAAAATTTGATAAAAGAAAGAAAGAAAGAAAAAAAAAGAAAAAAAAGAAAAAAAGAAAAAAAAGAAAAAAAGAAAGAAATCAAGAAAAAAGGATGAAAATTTTTAAAGAAAGAAAGTCAGAATTTTGAAAAAAAAAAAAAGAAAAAAAAAAAAATGTAAGAAAGAAATGAAAGAAAAAATGATGTCAAAAAAAGAAATAGAAAGAAAAGAATAAAGAAATGAATATGAAAAAGAAAGAAAGAAAAAAAAAATGAAAAAAAAAGTGTTTAAGAAAAAATTAAAATAAAAAAAAAAGAAAAAAAAAAAATGGAAGAATGAAAAAAAAAAAAAAAAAGAAAAAAAAAAAAAAATTAAATGGAAAAAATGAAAAAGGAAAGAAAGAAAAAATATAAGAAAAAAAATTTAGAAAGAAAGAAAATAAAAATAAATGGGTTTAATAAAGAAAATAAACCAAAGAAAAAAAAGGAAGAATGAAAAAAAAAAAAAAAAAAAACAATGAAAAAAATTTTGTTATCTAAAATAAATGAAAAAAGAAAAATGATTTTTAGGAAGAAATAAAAAGAAAGAAAGAAAAAAAAAAAGAAAGAATTCTAAAAAGAAAGGGGAAGAAAGAAAAAATGTGAGAAAATTTTTCTAGAACAAAAAGAAAAAAAAAAGAAAAAAATTCAAAGAATGAAAAAGAAAGAAAATAAAAAAGAAAGAAAAAAATGGATGAAATGAAGGATTTATAAAGAAATAAATGTTCAAAGAAAGAAAGGAAGAAAAGAATTTCAGAAAGAAAGAAGATTTTGAGAAAAATGAAAAAGATTAAAAGTTAAAGAAAGAAAATGTAGAAGAAAAAAGAAAGAAAAAAAGAGCTTATAAAAAAAAAGGAAAAAGAATGAAACAATGGAAAAAATAAAAAAGAAGAAAAATTCCTGAAAGAAAAGAAAAAAAGAAAGGAAAGAAAAAAAAAAAAGGAAAATAATTAAAGAAAAAGAATATTTATAAAAAAGAAAATTAGTCGAAAATTAAAAAGAGAAGAAAAAATGTGATAAAAAAAATAAGAAATATAAAAAAGAAAAGAAATGAAATGAAAAATGAAAGAAAAAAAAAGGAAGAAAAAGAAATGAATGGATTTGTTTTCAATGTCAAAGAAAAAGAAAAGAAGAAAGAAAGAAAAAAAAGGAAAAATTGATTTTTGAAGAAAAGAAAAAAAAAAGAAAGAAAGAAAGAATGAAATTTCATGGAAAAGAAAGAAACAAATGAAAGAAAAGAAAATGATTTTCCAAAAAATAAAAAAAAAGAAAAAAGGAAAGAAAAAAAAAGAAAAAAAGAAAGGAAGAAAGAAAGAAAAATGAAAAAAATGAAAGAAAAAAAAAATTAAAAAAAAGGAAAGATTTTTAAAAAGAAAAAGAAAAAGAAAGAAAATTCTTGTGAAAAATCAAAAAAAATGAAAACAAAAAAAAAAGAAGGAGAAAAAAAAAAGAAAAGAAAAAAAAAATTAGAAAAGAAAAGAATTAAAAAAATATTTGGGAAAAAAGAAAATTACATGAAAAGAAAGAAAAAAAAAAAAAATAAAAAATTAAGAAAAAATAAAAAAAAAAAAATCAATGTATTTTTCTAAAAAAAAGAAAAGAAAAAAAGAAATTCTCACCAGAATGAAACAATGAGAAAGAAAAAAAGAAAGAAACAATTTTTATGAAAAAAAAAGAAAAAAAAAAAAGAAAGAAAAATAAGAAAGAAAAAAAAAAATAAAGAAATAAAATTTGAAAAAAAATAAAAGTTTCTTAAAAAATTTTTTTATTTTCAAAAAAAAAAAAGAAAGGAAATCAAGAAAATATTTTTGAAAAGAAAAATTTTCTAAGAAAAACGAAAAATTTTAAATTTCAAAATGGAAAAAATGAAGTTCAGAAAGAAATTTTTATTTGTTCAAGAAAAAAAGAAAAACGTCAAAAATTTAAAGAAAAATTGTTGAAATTAAAAAAAACAAAATAATGAAAGAAAAATTCATGTTTGAAGAAAAATTTTGTTTTTTGTTTTAAAAGAAAGAATGAAGGATTCATTTGAATGTGCAAGAAAGATTTTAAAAAAAAGAAAGAAAAGAAAAAAAGGATAAAAATTAACTTGGAATCGAAAAAAAAGAAAAGAAAATGGAAACATTTTCCATTAGAAAAGAAAAGAAAGAAAGAAAAAAAAAAAGAAAGAAAGGAAAAGAAAAGAATTGAAATTCACTGAAAAAAAAATAAAGAATGAAGAAAAGGAAAAATATTAGAGAAGTATAAAGAAAAGAAAAAAAAGTTTATGAAAGAAAAAAGAAAAAGAAGAAAAATTTACAAAAGAATTCCTCAATGAAAAAAGAAAGAAAGAAAAGAAAGGAAAATCATTTAAGAAAGAAAGGAAGAAATCTAAAACCAAAGAAAGAAAGAAAGAAAAAAAGAAATGAAAATTTTTTACATGAAAGAAAGAAAGAAAGAAAAAAAAGAAAGAGAGAAAGAAAAGAAAAAAAATAAAGAATTGTTTTTCAAGAAAATAAAATAAAATGAAGAAAAAAAGAAAGAAAGAACCAGAATGAAAGAAAAGGCAGGAATTTCTTTTCAAAAAAGAAATGTGAAGAAAAAAGAAAGAAAGGAATGAAAAAGAAAGAATAAAGGTTTCTTTCAAGACCCTCATCTTTCTTTTTTTCTTCAAAGAAGAAAGAAAGAAATGTTTTAAGAAAGAAAAATAAGAAAAAAGAAAGAAAGAAAAGAAAGAAAGAAAGAAAGAAAGAAAGAATTTTTTTTTAAGAAAAGGAAGAAAGAAAGAAAAAAGAAAGAAAGAAAGGAAGAAAGAAAGAAGAAAAAGGATGAAAAATTGTTCAGATGAAAAAAGAAAGATGAAAGAAAAAATGAAAAAGAAAGAAAGAAAGAAAGGAAGGAAAAAGAAAATAAAAGAAAAACTTCAAGAAAAAAAGAAAGAAATTCATTTCAAGACCACCAAATCAAGAAAGAGGTATTTTTTTTTTTAGAAATTTTATTTATCTTTTTTTTAAAAAAGAAGCAATCTTTTTCCTTCTTTAAGAAGTTTTTTTTTTTTTTTTTAAAAGAAAGAAGAAAGAAAGTTTATTTTTTTTAAAATTTTTTCATTTTTATTTAAATTTATTTTATTTCTTGGGAATCTTTTTTAAAAGATGAAATCTTTTTCTTTTTCTTTTCTTTTTTCATTATTAAATCTTATTATTATTATTAATTAAAAAAAATTTTTCTTCATCATTTTTCTTTTTTTTTTTTTTAAAAATTTATTTTTCATTTTATATTATTAATTTTTATTATTATTATCATTTTATTATGATTTTCTTCTTCTTTTTTCTTATCATTTTTTTTTCATTTTGTTTTTTTTCTTTTTCATTAAGAAATATTTTAAAAAAATTATTATTATAATTTCCTTATTTTTTCATCATTTCTTTTTTTTTCTTTCTTTTTTTTCTTTTCTTTTCCCTTTTTTTTTTTCTTTTCTTTCTTCTTCCTTATTTTATTTCTCAACTTTCATTATTTTTAAAATTTTTTAATTTTCTTTTCTTCTTTTCTTTACGTTCTTCTTCTTTTTTCTTCTTCTTTCTTTCTTTCTTTTTTTTTTCTTTCTTTTTTTTTTTCTTCTTTCTTTCTTTTTAAATTTTATTAAAAATTTTTTATTAAGAATAATTTCTTTTTATTTTTCTTTTTTTTAAAATTCTTCTTCTTTCTTTTTTAATTTTTCTTTTCTTTTTCAAAATATTTTTCAACAAGAATTTTTCAAAAATGTGAATTATTTTTTGCTTTTTAAATTTTTTATTATTTAAAAAGAATTTTCTATTTAAAAAACCTTATTTTCAATTTTTTCTTCTTCTAAAATGAAATTCTCATTCTCATTTTTTTCTTCTTCTTTTTTGTTTTTTTTTTTATAAATTTTGATTCAATTAAAAATTATTCATTATTATTAATTTCTTTTTGTTTTTCTTCATTTTCATTTTTTTCTTTTTTTATTCAATATAAAAAATAACGAAAGGTTTAATTATTATTTTCTTACTTTATACCTTCTTCTTTCTTCTTAATCTTTAAATCTTTTTTCTTCAGAGTTATATTCTTTTATTATTTTAATAAATTTATTTTTTTTAATTATTTCATCATTTCTTCATTTTTATTTTTTTCATTCATCTTATTCTTTTTTCTTTTTTCTTCTTCTTTCACCTGCAGGAAATTTTAAATTTATTATTATTATTATTTTATCATCATTTTTAAATCTTCGGTTTTTGCTTTTTTCATTTTATTTTTTTTTTTTCTTTTTTTCTTTTTTTTCAAAAATCTTTTTTTATTTTTTCTTCTTTATTGTTCTTTTCATTCTTTCTTCTTCTTCTTCTTCTTCAAGGATGAACTAAATATTAAAACTTTTATTATTTTTTTTAAAATATTTCATTTTTTTTCAATGTTTAATCTGAGCAAAAAATCAAATTTAGAGTTTCCTCTTTTCTAATGCATTTGTATATTTTAGAAGAAATTATACATATAAAAAATCATAGAGGATCATTTATGATTCCAATCAAATTTTTTTAATTCCTTTTTTATTGATATTTTTATAAGCTTTTTTGTTAATTCACTTTTATAAATGTTTCATTTGCTTATGATTTTTTTTTATTCTTTTCGCCATCTCCCTTCAATTTTTTGTATTCTAGAATGGATGATTGGCCATTTTTTATCAATTTAAAATTAAATTTTTCAGCTGAGAGAATAAATTTTTCTCATTGCATTCATCTGATTTTTAAAATGTGAATTTGGAAATTTTAAATTTATGATCAACCTTCCAAACAAGATAAATAATGAAATAAAATTGGGCCTTGTTTTCACTATTGAGAAATTTCACCATTTATTTATTTTTTAAAAAATGTTTTGAAATCCCTATTTTAAAAATGAAAGTAAAAAAAAAAAAAAATATATGATTTAATATTTGGTTTCCATTGAAACATCTTTGAAACTTATCTTTTTTTGAGACCATTTACTGAGGAATCAGACAGAACCATCAATTTTTTTTGGGTCAAGAGACAAAAAAAAAGAACTAAAGAAATGAATAAAAACGAAAATAAAATGAGATTTCATCATTTTTCAATAATTAAACATAGATAGATTTTAGATAGATATGAATAAATTTTTATAGATGATCTACCGTTTAGATAAATAGGTAGATAATCCTATTTTAAAATAGAAAATAGAAGATATTTTAAAGATCTTAAAAAATGAGAAATAGATAAATAGAAAGATATTTTCAAAAAAATATAGATATATATTTTATTTCTTAGGTTTAAATTCTTGTATAAATCATAATTAGGAATAGAAAATAGGTAGATTTTAACAGAACAAAGATAGATAAATAGATATGAATAGGTTCAATAGATAGATAGATAAATTTAGATATTCAATTATTTTACAATGTTAGGGCATTTGTTTGTCTGAATTCTGTATATTTAAATAAAAGATGTTAAATTCATCAAATTTACTTAAAATTGCAGGCTGAACTGAACCAGTTGTCATGAAAAATTTAGACAGGAGATAGTTCCCATTAATTCTTTTAAAAAATGGATCTTAGTTTCTCTTTTAATTACATTGAATGACCTTCTTGATGATTTATATCAATTTCTTGAATATTCAGTATTTTTTTTTAATGGTCAAACAAATTTATTGAGTGATTGTTAAAATTGATACAGAAAATAAAAGTGATGTAAAAAAAACCTTGATTACTTTAGATGAATTAAAATTAGGTACATCAGTGTAATTAATAATCTTTACAGATTTTGGTATTGCATTCAGCAGGAGAATTAGGTAATAGAGACCTAGGAATAAAGAATAGATAGATTCTTTTTTATCCATTGACAATGGTTCAAAAATTACTGGCACAAATGTTGTCCAAATATTTTTAAGATTTTTTATAGAAGAATTTTTTATATATTAAAGATCCAAATTCCTAATTTATATGATATACCATATCCATGTTTATACTTTTAAAAATGTTTGAGAAAAGTGGTTGCTCAAAGCTCAAATAAGTTTGATTTGTTTTTAGGTCACATAATCATCTTTTGGGTTCACTGAAAATTCTATTGATAATCAGGTTTACTATTGTTCTCATTTTTAAACAGTTTGATATTCTGGCCAAGAAGTTGTTGGAATAAACTCAAAACATTCGTCCTCTTATCATGATAAATTAAAAGGCCAATAAAGAAACTTGAACCAAGAGAAGATCAAAAAAAATTTATTCTGGCATTGGTATCAAATCCATTCCAGATTTAATAAATTTTGAAATTATATTTTGAAACACTGTAATATCTTCTATTGAATGCAAGATAGATAATGTCGAATACTTTTGAAAAAATCCAAATTCCAGCCAAGGCAGAAAAAACCATCTTTGAAATGAGAGATGGATTCAATTTTTATTTTTTAAGAGTTTCTCATTTGAAACTTTCTTCCAAAACCTTTTTGAAATTTCTCATACAGGATATGGAGCTTCATTGGCTTTTCTTTGACTTCAAAAATGTTCATCACAATTAATGCAGAAGTTAATCTCATATGATCATTTATTGTTAAACTTGAGTTTTCCTTTTTGTTTAGATGAAAACCAATAATTCTTCCCATTCTTCTCCTTTATGGAAAATGTTTAGAAACTGGTTCAACAAAAATGGCTTTAGACAGGAAAAAATTTAAATTTTCCTTCATCCATGAACATGCTGGTTAAAGAATTTTTTATTTATTTCTTTAGTTTAACAAAAAGCAACTAAACATGAAAGAATTTATGGACATCATGAAAAGAATTTTGAATCACAGGTTCCCTATCATGATGTAAGAAAAGTTGAAAAACCACTTGGGAGAATGATTGAACCTTTATGAACTGTATAAATAACTGCTCCAAAATATTTCCAACCTTCATATTTCAAACTTCAATTCAATTAACATTTGAATTAACAATTTGCCAGATCCATACTCTTTGCCAGTTAAAACAGTGAAAAAAATTTTAATAAAATGAACATTTCCCAAAGCCATTCAGAAGAAGGCCTCCATTTTGGCCTACATGAAGATTTCAAAAAAAGAAAACATTGTTATAAATAAAAATAAAAATTTGATAAAACCAGCAATTAAATTTGGAAAATTTTATTGAACTTTTTTCAAATAAATTCTTACTGAAGAAGATTTTAGATGGAAAATAACAAAGGTGAGAATATTTGATGTAATCTAATTCTGTAAATTCATGTATAATGAAATATTTAATCTCATTTTAAACCAGTATGAAGGATTTTTAGGATGGGATTTACCATGATCAAAATGCATTTTTAATGTGAAATAGGACCAATAAATGAGTTTAAATATTATTAGAACTTGAAAATCGGATAAATATGGCGACAAAGATGAGGACAATAGTCCAAATAATTTGAGCGAATAAAGGGTTCATAATACCTCATCTCAGAAATATATACAGATTTTTGAAAACGTTTATAAATATGGCAACAAAGATGAGGACAATAGTCCGAATAATGTAAATAACATTACATAATACCTCATCTCAGAAATATAGACAGATACTGAAGGATCGGATAATAAATGTGGTTTCAAAGATGAGGACAATAGTCCGAAATAATGTAAATAATAGTAACATAATACCTCATCTCAGAAATATAGACAGATACTGAAGGATCGGATAAATATGGCAACAAAGATGAGGACAATAGTCCGAATAATGTAAATAGTGTACATAATACCTCATCTCAGAAATATAGACAGATACTGAAGGATCGGATAAATATGGCAACAAAGATGAGGACAATAGTCCGAATAATGTAAATAGTGTACATAATACCTCATCTCAGAAATATAGACAGATACTGAAGGATCGGATAAATATGGCAACAAAGATGAGGACAATAGTCCGAATAATGTAAATAGTGTACATAATACCTCATCTCAGAAATATAGACAGATACTGAAGGATCGGATAAATATGGCAACAAAGATGAGGACAATAGTCCGAATAATGTAAATAGTGTACATAATACCTCATCTCAGAAATATAGACAGATACTGAAGGATCGGATAAATATGGCAACAAAGATGAGGACAATAGTCCGAATAATGTAAATAGTGTACATAATACCTCATCTCAGAAATATAGACAGATACTGAAGGATCGGATAAATATGGCAACAAACATGAGGACAATAGTCCGAATAATGTAAATAGTGTACATAATACCTCATCTCAGAAATATAGACAGATACTGGAGGATCGGATAAATATGGCAACAAACATGAGGACAATAGTCCGAATAATGTAAATAATGTACATAATACCTCATCTCCGAAATATAGACAGATACTGAAGGATCGGATAAATATGGCAAAAAAGATGAGGACAATAGTCCGAATAATGTAAATAGTGTACATAATACCTCATCTCAGAAATATAGACAGATACTGAAGGATCGGATAAATATATGACAAAGATGAGGACAATAGTCCGAATAATGTAAATAATGTACATAATACCTCATCTCAAAATATAGACAGATACTGAAGGATCGGATAAATATGGCAACAAAGATGAGGACAATAGTCCGAATAATGTAAATAGTGTATATAATACCTCATCTCAGAAATATAGACAGATACTGAAGGATCGGATAAATATGGCAACAAAGATGAGGACAATAGTCCGAATAATGTAAATAGTGTACATAATACCTCATCTCAGAAATATAGACAGATACTGAAGGATCGGATAAATATGGCAACAAAGATGAGGACAATAGTCCGAATAATGTAAATAGTGTACATAATACCTCATCTCAGAAATATAGACAGATACTGAAGGATCGGAGAAATATGGCAACAAAGATGAGGACAATAGTCCCAATAATGTAAATAGTGTAAATAATACCTCATCACAGAAATATAGACAGATACTGAAGGATCGGATGAATATGGCAACAAAGATGAGGACAATAGTCCGAATAATGTAAATAGTGTACATAATACCTCATCTCAGAAATATAGACAGATACTGAAGGATCGGATAAATATGGCAACAAAGATGAGGACAATAGTCCGAATAATGTAAATAGTGTACATAATACCTCATCTCAGAAATATAGACAGATACTGAAGGATCGGATAAATATGGCAACAAAGATGAGGACAATAGTCCGAATAATGTAAATAATGTACATAATACCTCATCTCAGAAATATAGACAGATACTGAAGGATCGGATAAATATGGTAACAAAGATGAGGACAATAGTCCGAATAATGTAAATGTTGTACATAATACCTCATCTCAGAAAGATAGACAGATACTGAAGGATTGGATAAATATAGCAACAAAGATGAGAACAATAGTTCGAATAATGTAATTAGTGTACATAATACCTCATCTCAGACAGATACTGAAGGATCGGTTAATAAATATGGCAACAAAGATGAGGACAATAGTCCAAATAACGTAAATAGTGTACATAATACCTCATCTCAGAAATATAGACAGATACTGAAGGATCCGTTAATAAATATGGCAACAAAGATGAGGACAATAGTCCAAATAATGTAAATAATGTACATAATACCTCATCTCAGAAATGTAGACAGATACTGAAGGATCGGATAAATATGGCAACAAAGATGAGGACAATAGTCCGAATAATGTAAATAATGTACATAATACCTCATCTCAAAAATATAGACAGATACTGAAGGATCGGATAAATAATGGCAACAAAGATGAGGACAATAGTCCGAATAATGTAAATAGTGTACATAATACCTCATTTCAAAATATAGACAGATACTGAAGGATCGGATAAATATGGCAACAAAGATGAGGACAATAGTCTTTATAATGTAAATAAAATTACATAATATATACCTCATCTCAGAAATATAGACAGATACTGAAGGATCGGATAAATATGGCAACAAAGATGAGGACAATAAATGAATAATGTAAATAGTGTACATAATAATTCATCTCAGAAATATAGACAGATACTGAAGGATGGGATAAATATGGCAAAAAGATGAGGACAATAGTCTTAATGACTAAATCTTGTACAAAATACCTCATCTCAGAAATATAGACAGATACTATAGGATTTTTTAAATATGGCGACAAAGATGAGGACAATAGTCCGAATAATGTAAATAATTTTTATATAATACTCCATCTCAGAAATATAGACAGATACTGAAGGATGGGATAAATATGGCAACAAAGATGAGGACAAAATTCCGAATAATGTAAATAGTGTATTTCAATAATGGATCCCAGAAATATAGACAGATATTGAAGGATCAGATTAATATGGCAATGAAGATGAGGACAATAGTCCAGAATAATGTAAATAGTGATTAATAATTTCATTTCATTAATATAGACAGATACTGAAGGATTTAATAAATATGGCAACAAAGATGAGGACAATAGTCCAATAATGTAAATATACGTATATACTCTTTTCTCAGAAATATAGACAGATACTGAAGGATGGATTTGATATGGATTTTAAAGATGAGGACAATAGTCCAATAATGAGGAGTGTACATATCTATATATATCTAAACTAATTTTAGATACTGAAGGATTTTTTAAATATGGCAATAAGATGGATATTAGTCTGAATAATGTAAATAGTGTATGTTTTAATTTTCTCAATATGAAATAATGGTATCTATTTTTCTAAACATCAAGCCAAATTTGAAACCCTTTTAATTATTTTATCTTTTGGCTGATTTTTGAGTTTCAAATCATGTCAAATGCTTCATAACACTGCTGAAGAAGCCAAAATATCACAGCCTTCTGACAGATTGAACAACTTATTCTTTCAAAATACTTTTTAAATTTATCCCAAATTATGGCAAAAACCCCAAAAAATATTCACTGTTCTTACATTCAAGAGGGGAGATGAAACTTAATCTTTATTTTTTTTTTTTCATTTTTTTGGTAGGTATGAAAATGCCATTGCCAGGGTCCATTCTTATGGTGCTAATTTCCATGCCTCTTTAAAGATGTTTGGACAATTACATTTTTAGCATTTTATCATTCCAAAATATTTTTTTCCAGAACTCGTTTATTCCAGTCATTGTCTACAACTGACCTTTTCTGGATCTTATTCCTATTAAACTGGTCAATCACCAGAGGGATTGAAATCTTTTTTTTCGTTAAAGAATATACGTGACCTCAGTTGGTTCTTGAGTCCACCTGTGCAATATCATAAAAATAAACTTTTGAGGTAGCTCTTTAGTTGTCTAGCATAATGAAATTATTATAAAATGATATCTGAGACTGTCGCGTTTTCAAATTAAATGTTTTTTTTTCTTCTATGTTTTTAGAGATTGATAAGATCATTACTTTTGAATCCTTTAGTTGGTCTTACAAAGCCTTAACTCTCATGAATTGAGCTTCTTTTCAGTCTGAATAATAAATATATTCTCTATCTTTACCATTTTGAATCTGTCATTCATTTTAATCAATTTCTTCTTTCCAATACCTAAATAGTTG